TCCCCCATTTTTCCACACTTTTCCCCCCTTTTTCCCACCTTTTTCCCACTTTTTCCCTGTTTTTTCCCAATTCTTCCCACTTTTTCCCATTTTTCCCTGGTTTTCCCTGGTTTTTTCCCACTTTTTCCCTGCTTTTTTCCCACAATTATCCCGGTTTTTTCCCGCTTTTCCCCACCATTATCCCAGTTTTCCCACTTTTCCATCTTTTCCCACTTTTTCCCCCATTTTTCACAGTTTTTTCTTGCTTCTTTCCCACTTTTTCCCCACAATTATCCCAGTTTTTCCCTGTTTTTTCCCATTTTCCCCCCATTTTCCCAACTTTTTCCTTGCAATTTTCCCGCTTTTCCCCACAATTATCCCGGTTTTTCCCACTTTTCCATCTTTTCCCACTTTTTCCCTGTTTTTTCCCACTTTTTTCCCATTTTCTTCTTGGTTTTTTCCCACTTTTTCCCCACAATTATCCCAGTTTTTCCCTGTTTTTTCCCATTTTTTCCTGCTTCTTTCCCACTTTTCCCCACATTTATCCCACTTTTCCCCATTTTTTCCCCATTTTTCCCTTTCTTTTCCCATTTTTCCCCCATTTTTCCCACTTTTTCCCACTTTTCCCCACCATTATCCCGGTTTTTCCCACTTTTCCATCTTTTCCCACTTTTTCCCACTTTTTCCCTGTTTTTTCCCATTTTTTCCCCGTTTTTCCCACTTTTTCCTTGCAATTTTCCCACTTTTTCCCATTTTTCCCTATTTTTTCCACACTTTTCCCCCCTTTTTCCCACCTTTTTCCCACTTTTCCCTGTTTTTTCCCAATTCTTCCCACTTTTTTCCCGTTTTTCCCTGGTTTTCCCTGTTTTTTTCCCACTTTTTCCCTGCTTTTTCCCACAATTATCCCGTTTTTTTCCCACTTTTCCCCACTTTTCCATCTTTTCCCACTTTTTCCCATTCTTCCCATTTTTTTCTTGTTTCTTTCCCCACTTTTTCCCCATTTTCCCCCATTTTTCCCACTTTTTCCTTGCAATTTTCCCACTTTTCCCCACCGTTATCCCGGTTTTTCCCACTTTTCCATCTTTTCCCACATTTTCCCACTTTTCCCATTTTTTCCTTGGTTTTTTCCCATTTTTTCCCCACAATTATCCCAGTTTTTCCCTGTTTTTTCCCATTTTCCCCCCATTTTCCCAACTTTTTCCTTGCAATTTTCCCGCTTTTCCCCACAATTATCCCGGTTTTTCCCACTTTTCCCCACCATTATCCCACTTTTTCCCCTCCATCCCAGAATTCCCAGCCCCCCCCCGGAACAACCCCAAAATTCCCGAGCGGGAAAATTCCCAACTCCCCACCAACCCCAAAATTCCAGGAGCGTTCCCAAAAAATAAAAAACAATAAAAAAAAACCCCGGAATTCCCTCAAAAAAAACCCCCAAAAACCCAAAAAAAGGCGGGAAAAGCCAAAAAAATTCCCGGGAAAAAAACCCCAAAAAAAGGCGGGAAAAGCCAAAAAATTCCCGGGAAAAAAAAACCCAAAAAAGGCGGGAAAAGCACAAAAAAATTCCCGGGAAAAAAACCCAGAAAAAGCACAAAAAAATTCCCGGGAAAAAAAAACCAAAAAAAGGCGGGAAAAACACAAAAAATTCCCGGGAAAAAAACCCCAAAAAAAGGCGGGAAAAGCACAAAAAATTCCCGGGAAAAAAAAACCAAGAAAAGGCGGGAAAAGCACAAAAAATTCCCGGGAAAAAACCCAAAAAAAAGGCGGGAAAAGCACAAAAAAATTCCCGGAAAAAAAACCCCAAAAAAAGGCGGGAAAAGCCAAAAAAAATCCCGGGAAAAAAAGACCAAAAAAAGGCGGGAAAAGCACAAAAAAAATTCCCGGGAAAAAAAACCCGAAAAAAAGGGCGGAAAAAGCACAAAAAATTCCCGGGAAAAAAAAAAACAAAAAAAGGCGGGAAAAGCACAAAAAATTCCTGGGAAAAAAACCCAAAAAAATGCGGGAAAAGCCCAAAAAATTCCCGGGAAAAAAAACCCCAAAAAAAGGCGGGAAAAGCACAAAAAAATTCCCGGGAAAAAAAACCCCAAAAAAAGGCGGGAAAAGCACAAAAAAATTCCCGGGGAAAAAAACCCCAAAAAAAGGCGGGAAAAGCACAAAAAATTCCCAGGGAAAAAAAAACAAAAAAAGGCGGGAAAAGCACAAAAAATTCCCGGGAAAAAAAAACCAAGAAAAGGCGGGAAAAGCACAAAAAATTCCCGGGAAAAAAACCCCAAAAAAAGGCGGGAAAAGCCAAAAAAAATCCCGGGAAAAAAAGACCAAAAAAAGGCGGGAAAAGCACAAAAAAAATTCCCGGGAAAAAAAACCCGAAAAAAAGGGCGGAAAAAGCACAAAAAATTCCCGGGAAAAAAAAACAAAAAAAGGCGGGAAAAGCACAAAAAAATTCCCGGGAAAAAAACCCCAAAAAAAGGCGGGAAAAGCACAAAAAAATTCCCGGGAAAAAAAAACAAAAAAAGGCAGAAAAGCACAAAAAAATTCCTGGAAAAAAAAACCAAAAAAAGGCGGGAAAAGCACAAAAAAATTCCCGGGGAAAAAAACCCCAAAAAAAGGCGGGAAAAGCACCAAAAAATTCCCGGGAAAGGGCTCTGGAATTGCGAGGGATCCGGGAATTCCGGTACCTCTGGCCGGGGTCGCAGGGGGATCCTTTGCGCTTGCGGGATTCGGGAAGGGCCGGATCCGCGGAGCCGTCGCCGAGGCCGCTCATGGTGGGAATCCTACGGAAAACCTGGGGAAAACGGGAAAAAAAAAAAACGGGGAAACAAAAAAAAAATTTGGGAATTCTTGCGTTTTCCAGGAGGGAAAAATGCGGGGATTTGGGATTTGGGATTTATTTTTTGCAGGGTTTTTTTTTTTTTGGAATTGCCGAGATTTTTGGGGGGTTTTCTGGGATTCCTGATATTCCCGGGGATTTGGGATTCCCAGGGATTCCCAGGGATTCCAAGGATTTTCAATTCCCAGGGATTCCTGGATATTTGGGATTCCCAGGGATTTGAAATTCCCAGGATTCCTGGGAATTTTGGGATTCCCAGGAATTCCAGGGATTTTGGGTTTCTGATATTCCCGGGGATTTTTCATTTCCAGGAATTCCCAGGGGTTTGGGATTCCCAGGGATTTTCAATTCCCAAGGATTCCAAGGATTTTCGATTCCTGGGAATTCCCAGGACAGAATTCCCAGGACAGAATTCCAAGGGCAGGAATTCCCAGGGATGGAATTCCCAGGGCAGGAATTCCCGGGACAGGAATTCCCAGGATGGAATTCCCAGGACAGGAATTCCCAGGACAGGAATTCCCAGGGCAGGAATTCCCAGGGCAGGAATTCCCAGGACAGGAATTCCCAGGATGGAATTCCCAGGACAGGAATTCCCAGGATGGAATTCCCAGGATGGAATTCCCAGGGCAGGAATTCCCAGGACAGGAATTCCCAGGACAGAATTCCCAGGACAGGAATTCCCAGGACAGAATTCCCAGGGCAGGAATTCCAGGGACAGGAATTCCCAGGATGGAATTCCCAGGACGGAATTCCCAGGACGGAATTCCAGGGACAGAATTCCCGGGAATTCCAGGGCGGAGCCGTTCCCGGCTCTCCGAGGGCAGTCGGGAAGAGCCGGAGCCGGCACCGAGGGGAGAACCGGACACGGAACCGACTGGAACCGAACGGAACCGACCAGAACCGACCGGAACCGAATGGAACTGAACAGAACTGACCGGAACGGACCAGAACCAACTGGAACCGAACGGAACCGACCGGAACCGAACGGAACCGAATGGAACTGAACAGAACTGAACAGAACCGACCGGAACCGACCAGAACAGACCAGAACCAACTGGAACCGAACAGAACCAACCGGAACCAAATGGAACCAATGGAACCCATCAGAACCCAACAGAACCGAACCCATCGGAATCAAAGCCAATGGAACTGAACCCAACAGAACCAAACCCAACCCAACAGAACCCAACAGAACCCAACAGAACCAAACCCAACGGAACTGAACCCAACAGAACCAAACCCAACCCAACAGAACCCAACAGAACCCAAAAGAACCCAACAGAACCAAACCCAACCCAACAGAACCAAACCCAACCCAACAGAACCCAACAGAACCCAACCCAACCCAACAGAACCCAACGGAACCGAACCAAACCAAATGGGACCAAACCAAATCCAGCGGAACCAAACAGAACCAAAGAGAACCCAACAGAATCAAACCAAATGGAACCCAGTGGGATCAAACCCAACAGAACCAAATGGGACCAAACCAAACAGAACCGAACCCAACCCAACCAAACCCAAACGAACCCAACAGAACCCAACAGAACCCAACAGAACCCAACAGAACCCAACAGAACCCAACAGAACCCAATGGAACCCAACAGGACCAAACAGGACCCAACGGGATGGAACCAGTGGGGATGAACCCAACCCAACAGAACCGAACAGAATCCAAACAGAACCAAACCAAACCCAACAGAACCAGTGGGGATGAACCCAACAGAACCCAACGGAACCCAACCCAATGGAATGAAGCCCAATGGAACCCAACGGAACTGAACAGAATCAAACCCAACCCA